GATAATCCGTGTTTAATCAATACCAAAATGTTGACTTTAATACGTGTTTTTAATTGCTTACAAACCTGCTCGTGCATTTTTCATTGTTATTCAACGCAAAATAATTATCTAAGATACCTGGGACGATCTCATTACACAAAGGATTTCTATTGTCTACTTATTGTACCTCGAATTTAAATACCCTGTGTAGGTCTTTAAGTTGAGGTTCAATTAACTAAATGTTAATCGGGCATGACTAATTAGATACGCCCTCTTAAAATCAGGGGCTCCGAAATAGGATCGGGAAATATTATACTTATTGTACCTCGTATATGTAAGAGAATGATAATCCCTTTCTTCATGATAAAATACGAGCGTTAGCGTCATTCTCTTACAAACTTAGAATATTGTAAAGTGCTCAAGGCTCAAATGATCTCTTGATTGGTTTTATTCAAGAATTTGTTTCATTGTCAGTGCAATGTTTATAATTAATGGATGACTTATCTTTTAGGCATTTCATTTATGTATTGGTTTTAGTGATGTAAGGACTTACTTTTAATTTGGGAAATTTTAATAAATTGTGTTATAAACATAAGATGACACAACGTTACTTTGAAATGCTAGAAATTGTATAAGTTTCATAATTGTGGGTATGTGTGTAAATTATGTTTTAGCTTGGACTATTATACTTATACTTAATATTTTACTCCAAGGTTTTTATGAGGAATTGTCTTTTTGTTTATTTACAGTTCAATTTAATAATTTCAAAATCACACTAAATTGTATTCCACAGCTAATTTAATTCCAGCTCTTTACATCAAATACTACTTAATTAACTAAAATTTAAATGTTCAAAGAAAATGCTTTTTATAGAAAATTCAAAAGTAAATTCAATTTCCTGTATATATCGGTATATTGTAAATGACTATTCTTACTGCGAATACAGAAATCTTAGTTTTGATAAGCATAATAGCTAAAGATTTAGGTTATGTTTAATTTTAAAGTTTCTTTTTTTTTCTTTTTCTTCTTGTTAACATTGCTTTGATATTGCTTTTTTTTTGTAATTTGAAAGTTCTAAATATTCACATAATAACACAAACGGTATCAATTGTACTGCACAAGTAAACTTCAAACTTATTTTGATTATTTTTGTTTGTTTCAAAATTAAGCTTTCAATCAATAATCCTAATAAATGTGCTTCGGGCAGTTGTAACTAATTTATAGAAATTCTTTGTTTTGAACTGTAAATAGGTCTAAACAATAGGATAATCCCTTACTAAGAACATGTTTTACATTCATTCTTCACAGTTAAGGATCACCAAATTCTACAATGTCATTGGACGAGAGCACTTTGCTATATTCTAAGAACTTAAATACCCTGTGTAGGTCTTTAAGTTGAGGTTCAATTTACCAACAGTTAATCGGGCATGACTAATTAGATACGCCCTCTTAAAATCAGGGGCTCCGAAATAGGATCGGGAAATAACACTCAGCAAAATACCATAATTTACAATTTTAGAAAATTTGTGATTCAAAGGGCTTTTGGTTGCTTTAATATCTCCATTCAATAATCATTCGGTGGAAATACTAACCTGTCCCGAAACGAGAGATGTTGGCTACAATAGGAATTTATTTAAATAAAAAGTCCATATCTCATTAACTTATAGTGGCCGGTATTGTTTGTAAATTCATGACGTTTTGTTTTTTGGCATTCGTCTACCGTGGAGAAAAAAGAGGGAAGGAGGGCTAATAGATTAGCTTACGATTTCGATCATGATTCAACTGTATTCTATTACGGCATACGTTTTACTTCAAGCGAACGCCCTGCCTTATTGTAAAAAGTGCCACTTTAAAATTGTAATCATTTGCCTCAGGTTGATCCACTTTGCATCTCGTCGTAAATATGCATGACATATTTGCCACTGGACATAAAAGGAGCAATTGATTAATCAGCTTCATTTAGTGACGTATAATCATTTGGTTGCAGTAAATAATCGTAACCCAAGGGTGACTGGGGAATAGAAATATGGTCACTTGATCTTTTTCCGACCGGCAGTAAAACGCTCGCCAAAGTGGGCCGTCTGTTTGGCTGTGCGGGATGTATCAAGTTTGCAGCCACGTCCGGTCAGATTGGGAACGTTAAATCCGATGCCTCGTGTACAGAAAAAGCCACGCTCTTTGCACGTTAAGAACCCTTGCAACAACTCTTTGAGGGGTCCGTAGGTGGCCTGTTGCAAAGCAAAATTTCTGTCCCTATCCAATATATCCTCATTGTCCAGTGGCAGTCCAAATTTCCCCGACCATCATCCCAGATGGCCTCTATTATTACAAAACCTACCTATTGTATTTATTGTTAACTTGTTTTCGTCCTGAACATTCATGAAATATTTGCCACTGGACGTTAAGCAACCAACAATCAATAAATCAATAAATAATCGTCTAAAACAGTTTTCAAATTTTTATATTTCATATTTATTTCAGTATGAATTTTTAAGAGTAAATCTTTTTTCCATCCTTTTTCTCTTTGCATTTAATCTTTTTTTTTAAACATTACGAAAACGTTGTCGTGGTATACATCAGGTGTTACATTGTATCCTTTAGCAAAACTTATAGGATGTAACACAATGTGTGACATAACAATAATTATCAAGGTGTATTCAAATATAACGTAACTGAAACAATTACATTTATCCTTTAGACACTTTAATAACAATGTACACGAATATTATAGAACATAAGGCCCTGCAGACAATTAATGACAATGTCCACTGTTAACTAACATGTAGCCTGCAGAGGTTAATTGCATTGTCCGACAATTAACCTCAGACAAGTATTATTCAACAGCTAGACTACTTCGCAGACTGCCAACAGCTATGGGCCATTGTGTAACGATGGATGACCCCTCTGAACTATATAAGATCCAGCTTTGGACTCGAAGGATATATTCGTACAGATAGATTCAAACAGGAGATTCCGCCAAGGTCTCCCCCCTTGTGGGTAGGCTGGAATTAATTCACTAACCATCCGAATTACTCAGTCAGGACCGAACAGTTATACCACTATACGATCACGTGTCCATGTGACGATATGAACATTCGAACAATTCAACTTTAAAGACAGTTTGTGAACAATCGAACATTTGAACTTTAGAATCTTTCTTGACTTTGTAATTACATAATAAAATTATTTAATCAACCACCGATTTCGTTACAAGTCGTAAAATTGATGTCGTTTAGACCAGGATCGACTTGGATAGGCTAAAACAACGCAAAGGAATATAAAACGTAAGAACTAAGTTACTTTCATTTTTTCTATATGGACAATCAAGATATTTCTATGTCAGCGCAAAAAGTAGAAATGGCTTTCCAAGGGATGGCACACGTTAAGTACAGTTCTTAATTTTAAAGGGAGTGAGGCCGTATATTTAAAAGGCTTAAAATCAGAAGTGTGTTCACGAGCTGGGGTTCGCACGAAATTTTTTATTAGTATTTTAGATATTGTACGTCAATTTAAGAATTATGAATACACATATTCTTAAAACAATTGAAGATATTTTTTTAGTTATTTTAATATGCAATTATTTAATAGACAGGATATGTTATATATATATAATAAGTATGATTCTTAAAAATAAAACTTTTTTTTAAGTTTGAAGAAGCTAGTTTTTCGTTTAGAGTAAATATGTAAAAAACTAAAATGTCTGATACTATAGCATTTATATTATGGGTTGTTTTCTTGAAGATACATTCAATTATTCTAGAAAATATATATCTTACGTAAAATTAGTAGAGCACCGGTATATATGAAGGTTGATTTAGAACCTTTGGTAGTTGAAGTTAAGGGTACATTGTGGGTTCATATGTTTGCGATGTTATAGCCATTGACGATTATGGTTTACGCAGTTGGGTAGTGTGTATGCACGTTTGTTTAGAGAAAACAAATAGTCTATAAATTTAGATTCCAACCCCTTCTTCGGATGATTAACATAAGTGATGTTAAGTAATTAAATGGTGCAAGTTGTTTTATGGTGTTAGATTACGCCTTATTTACATAAAATAAATGTTAATAGATAAAGAGAAGTATCTTCAGAAAATAGCAAATTAAAGATAAATGTTGATATGTTTTGCCCTAAGGGATTTACAATATTTTTGTGGTAGATTGATATTTGTAAAAAATGAGAGACACATGAACTTCATGACTAATGACAAACTTTAAGTGAAATAGATAATTGATATTAAAGGAAAACTAGCATTAAAATAAAATTGGTTTTTTTTAAAAACAATTATGAGGATAATTATCAGAAATTAAAATAAGAATAAGAAAATAATTAATTTAGTAGTAAAACAAAAAATGAGTCTAAACAATGGGTTTTGTTCATAAATAAGCATAGAACAAACATTAAATTGTTTTGGTTTTTAAGAAGTAAATCAAGTTTAAAAAAAAAAATAGAATGAATAAAATTTCAACATATATACATTCAGTCATAATGAAATGTATAAAAAAGATAGGCAGTAGGTTGCTGATGTTTTAAAGCAAATTAAAATGATATATATAAAAAAGAAAGGAAAGATTATGATGAAGAAACTATAAAATTGTTTTGGAAAAATGTAATAGATTAAGGAGAAAGGCATTTTTTTTTTCGCAACAAGGTGTTGTTGTCAAATAGGAAATATAGAGTCAGTAACAAATTGCGCAAGACGTAGTTAAATTTTATCAATGTAATCTTAAATATTTTTAAGAGTGATGAGAATAAATTTGTGGACTATATTTAGCATTAAGATTAATTAATGAGAAACTAAAGTTAAAGATGTAAAAGTATTACAATTGGTAACAAAGTAACACATATAATTTTTAGTAATTTTTTTTATAGGTATCATGAAGGTGTAGTGGTTATATAAAATGATCCAATTGAACTTATTTGATTGTAAATTTGTAAATATGTTCTTATGTCTTGTGTAAATAAACATATCTTTGTTTTTATTATGTAGGATTCTCAAAATTGTAGAAGTTGTATACAACAGTTTTTCCCCTTTTGTTTTTTTTTTTTTTTTTTTTTTTACCAGATAATTCGATATTTAAGAGAACGTATTGATTTTATCTAGAAATTGTTTTATTAAACTTTGCTAGGCTTGGATAACCCAGTGAACTAAAGGCGACTGAACAAACGATTGATAAATAAAAAAGAAGTAAACAAATTTTAGTTTTTCCGAATTGGGATAAGTTTATCAGTGGGTTAGGTGCAATCTTCATTTGAATAGCCATATTTTGTACTGTTAAATTATTAAGAATATATCTTGGTTAGCCAAAAAGAAAAGTGCGAGTTCTGGTTCTAATGCCACGAACAACGGGTACAAAATGGTGTCAACGCAATTGGTTGGAACAGATGTTACTGCTTCCAGAGAGATGTCTTCCTCTGCGCCATTGATCAGGGACGAAACTTAACCGGAGACCGATGTTAATAGTCTCTTGAGAAAGATTTACCTAGAGATAGATACGTCAACAACTTAGTAATGGAACTAGATGGTAAACCTTACAACGTTGATGACCGGATCCACTAGCAGATGATGACCGACACTTGTACAAAGTAGTAGAGGAACAATATGCTATGATGGTGACGGGAAAAAGTATGCACAATATATACCCAAATATTGAACTTTATGAATCATATGAACTCTATGTATCCAGATGTTGGACTTGCCGAATTTTATGAACTATAGATGTGTGGTGATGGTTACCGAAAACTTAACAAGGAACTACTGAATTTAAAATAGAATAAATTAAGGAAGATTCTCGTATTTTACCGAACTTTCGTTCTTATTGCGATGAAAGGCATTTGTAACACAATGTGTGACATAACAATAATTATCAAGGTGTATTCAAATATAACGTAACTGAAACAATTACATTTATCCTTTAGACACTTTAATAACAATGTACACGAATATTATAGAACATAAGGCCCTGCAGACAATTAATGACAATGTCCACTGTTAACTAACATGTAGCCTGCAGAGGTTAATTGCATTGTCCGACAATTAACCTCAGACAAGTATTATTCAACAGCTAGACTACTTCGCAGACTGTCAACAGCTATGGGCCATTGTGTAACGATGGATGACCCCTCTGAACTATATAAGATCCAGCTTTGGACTCGAAGGATATATTCGTACAGATAGATTCCAACAGGAGATTCCGCCAAGGTCTCCCCCCTTGTGGGTAGGCTGGAATTAATTCACTACCCATCCGAATTACTCAGTCAGGACCGAACAGTTATACCACTATACGATCACGTGTCCATGTGACGATATGAACATTCGAACAATTCAACTTTAAAGACAGTTTGTGAACAATCAAACATTTGAACTTTAGAATCTTTCTTGACTTTGTAATTACATAATACAATTATTTAATCAACCACCGACTTCGTTACAAGGAGAGAGGATAAGAACAGAAAAACGATCTTCATTAAGTGCCCAATAACTCATATAATGAAGCGAACAATGACGACTGTCTCGTCTACGTGTCAACATTTGCTGTTTCAAGTTTATTTGTATCTCAGACTGGTATAATAGTTGCCATAAAAGCAAAAATGGATAAAAAAAAAATGTTGACAACAACCTATTAAAGGATTCAACTTATTTTGGGCGTTTTATTTATTTATTTTTTAGATATTGTTTTGCTAATCGGTTTCGTTATATATATTTTTTTTTCATCAACAATTGTCCTAGCAAAAGTCGCAAAAAGTGTGTTAAAATCAGCAATGCGACTTATTTGAAAAGATTTAGCTGACCTTTCTTGTTGATTACACATTTCGATCATTCAACTAGTGCATAGATCGTATTTCCCTCTAACGTTTTTTTAACGTATAGAAAGCGTGAAATTTTCACTACATCAGGAATCGGATATACATTCCTATTTCGATGGGACAAAACTACGTATTTATATATCCGATAAGCCAAATGAACGCACCCATTTAGCAAGGGTATACTGTGGGACGGGGGGAGAGGTCTCCAGATGTCAATATTTCTAATTCCAAGTGAATCATTTGATTTTGAATAAAAGGTGATAAAAGTATACTGTACATTAATGCGAGAGCAACAGAAATACACAGACATATCAAAACATTTATAGTCAACTTTCAGTCTTTTTTTTTATAGAAAGATCCGTATACAGAAAACTAATCAGTGAAAACCGCCTAATGACTTAATAATTATAGTTATACGGAGTTAACTCAATAATAATTACCGTCAAATATTATTTATCCGAAAAGTCACATTTGATTTAATACTATTTACCGTCAAAGATATCCCAACAAACACAAGTCTCTGTTTGAAAAATTTCACCTGCCCTTTTTTAATTTTGATCGGTGAAAATTTAAAGGGGCACTAGTACGAGATATAAAAAAATATAAAATATGATTTTTTTTTTGTTCAATCATTAATGAAAATGGAATAGTGAAATAATAATTCGGTTTTAGCAGCCAGTATTGTCTAATTTTGTCAAAATCAGCAAATAAATATTGATGATTAATTATTCACTTGCAAGTGAATATTTCGACCTCATTGAATCCGTATTCATGTGAACTTCAATTTAACCCCTTAGATAGAGTTGGATAACGCATGAATTGTGTGCATGTTTGATTATTTAAAGGAAAAGAATGTCAACATTGAAAGTAAACAAAGTTAATTCATTTAATTGACTGATTCAATCCTCAAAAAATCATTCTTATACAGGTAAAAATTATGAGTAACATATATTTTTAATCTATAAATGAAATTAAATAGACCTAGAAGAATCCAATTGCACGAGTTGTGCTATCTATTATATCTTTATTTATGTTTATATCCCTTATATGGGCATCGGTGGTTTTCGGGAGGTCAACTCGACAGTTAGTTAGATGGCGTCTAGACTAAAATACACACAAAACGAAACTACATATTATCGACCCTATGCCCTGTAAATTGTTTATTTTATATTTTTTATAATTTGGATAAATGTTTTACATTGTTATATAACACATATGAGAATTTGAGTCAAATCGGTGAACATTGAATTTGACAGCTATTGTCCCTTTAAATAAGAAGTTGTAATATAAACCAGTAGAAGAAAAACACTTCACTGTATAATAAAACGGTAAAATAAATGATGATAAGTGATGACGACCAGCGGCAAATAAAAAGAATATTCAGGACGATAACATGTAAATATAATACGAGTATAAACCCCACTTTTTACTAGACTGACACGCTGAGTCGGTGTTTTTACACGTAAGTTCCCAAGATATTAGTTCGCAGGAAGAAAAGTCATCTGACCCGGACACATTTCCGACTCTGAGCCGACCAGTCTGTGCTCCTACTCTATAAAGTCACGTGTTAAGCGTTGAAGTAGCCAATACTAATTTAACGTCTTTGTTTGGCCCGGTAGGGATTCGAAACTTCCTGTTATTCTATACAATCTTGTTACTGGTAGTTATAATGGAAATATAGCTTGGTGTAAGAATGTAAAATATGTGCTTGATAATTGTGGAATATCAAATATATGGAACACTAAATATTTAAATAAATTAAGATTAACTTACCAGTTCAGACAGACATGGTATGCTACTCTACAAAATTCTCCAAAAGCTTTAAATTATAAATTATTCAAAAATAGTATAAATTTCGAAACCTACTTTGATATTTTAGATGACAAAAATATTGCTTCTTTTTGTAGATTTAGAACTTTGAACACAAAAAATATCGAAATTGGTAGATGGCAAAATATTCAGAGAGAAAATCGTATTTGTACTTTGTGCAATTCCGGTGATATTGGCGACGAGTTCCATTATATTTTAGAATGTTCGGCAATAGACGAAAGTAGACAAATGCTACTAAAGCATCATTTTGTAAACAGACCAAATATTTTTAAATTTCAAGGTCTCATGAATAGCAACAACCCGTCTGAACTAAACAATCTGTGTAAGTTTATAAGAATTATTATGAAATGCCTAGAATCTCCTGGGTAACTCCTTTATGTCTCTACTTTATATTTGTATCTAAAATGTATACTATGTATTTTAATTTATTTGTATATGTCTCTGTACCATTGTACCTTGGTTTACGAGAATAAAGATATATATAACAAACGACCTCCCGCTCTCGAGGGGAACACCTTCACATGAGACCAACCAGTGGAGCGGTAGTACATAATATACCAAAAACTCAAGTACAATAAACAATACAGTTTCACAGACTTCTCACAGTTACAAAAGCGAGCTAAAGGTATCTAACCAAAATTTAATGCGTGAAATGATATTGTAAACTACACGTAAACATCGATGATCGACTTTAGTGTAGATTTCATGGATCAACGCTCTCGGCAAATTAAAAACTCTTGCACAAATTATTTGAGTGGTCCGAATGTGGCCAGCTGTTGCAAGTGTAAATTTCTGTCCTAATTCAATATACCCTCATTTTCCAGTGGTATTTTAAAGTTTCACGTCCAACCTCACTGTCGACCTCCTATTGCACGACCTACCTATTGTATTTAAAGACTTTATGTGTTATAGTCATGAACATGTATGAAATATTTGCCACTGGACGTAAAGCAAACAACAATCAATCAACTTCATAAATTGTTCCATGTAATTAGCACTCAAAGACAAGATCTTGTAAATTGCTATAATGCACTATTGCCATTTAAATTTTTATTTTTTTTTGTGTGTTTTTTCCTTCAATTTATTACATAACTGACTGCTTATAAAAAAAGTTTTAAATATTTTTTTTTACTATGGTTCTTATTTACTGTTTTAATACGATTTATAACATGATGTTTTGTCAGGCAAGGATAAAACTAAGAAAGGTAAAAGTTTTTTCATGTGTTTTGCTTCAGTTGGACATGAATTAAATGGGAATAACGGATGACTAAAATAAGAGTTTGTTTTCGTATAATACATCGAACCTACGAATATATGTCACCTAAACACGTTTTGATCGGGTCATTGAAACCTAGTTGATGCTATAGATGACACATTTATGCTTTTTAATACGATTTTATTCATTGAAGTTTGCATATAGATATAGGCAGATGTGGTATGAGTGCCAATGAGACAACTCTCCATCCAAGTTACAATTTATAAAAGTAAACCATGCATAGTTTATATTTAAAAAAAAAATAAAGCAAGATCTATTAATTAATTGGACTGAACAGACAACACTAGTTATTTTGCATTTGCATGTAACGCGCATGTAACGCAGTGTAGGAAAATTACAGAATCAAAAAGGAATGAGCATTTACCAGATGAATATTGTGAAGGACCTTATGCATCTAGGTCTGTTCGATTAGAAATTCTGAAACAAGTTGTTTAAAAAGCTAGCTGATGGAAGAATTTACTTACTGTTTTCTTATGTCTGGTCTGTTTCATGATTACTGACAGATTAAAACATCAAATATATATAACAAGAAGTTGTTGTGCATAATATTCATTGGTCAGTTATAAATGAGGTATGTATAGTGTTTTGATTGCCTCATTTATTAAATAAAAAATCGTTATTTTGAAAAGTTGGATTCAAAAATATAAATTGACCCCCTAATTTTGTTAAATTTTCATTTGGTGTTATTTTAATACTAAACAAAATATAATAAATGAATTATTAAATGATGTACTGCCATTTAATCGGTCCGTTTCCGTTGCAATTTGGTAACTGTTAATTGTATATATCAGTCTGAGTACTGTTTAACTATCATTTAAGTTGAACATATTTAGACTCGTCCAATTCAGGGGAATTAGGTTTCTGCGAGTGCTTTTTGTGTACTTTTCTTATGTTTTTGACGGTTTGTAAGTCAGTAAAAGTTCAATGATTAAGTTAATATTGACATTAAAAGACCTCCTCACAAAAAGGGCTGTTCAAATCCCCTCGCCCTTCGGGCTCAGGGATCTGAACATCCCTTTTTGTTCGGAGGTCTTTTAATATCAATATTAAATTATCATTGAACTTTTACTACAATGTATTACTAATTTCTTCAAAACAATTTTTATTTCACGCATCCAGTTTGGCACACACATGCACTGTGTCTTATTGCTTAAATCAGAGTAAAAAATATTGTGATGATACACGTAATAATTTTGCTTTCGATGAAAATAGGGTAAATTTCGGGTAAAATTTTACGCTTACTAAAATGCTGAAATACTTATATCAAAATCACTTAAATACTTTCCGATTTCGTTATATGATATATTTAATTTATAAACTATATTATAGGTACTGTTTTAACCACCAACAAAGACCGCAATAATTTTATTTTTCATGTTAAAGATTCCCCGTACAATATGGTATCTGGTGGTACCCTGTAAAAACACGAAATTGA